AAAAACAGGGATGTTGATCCATGGAATGGAACTGAAGACCCAGCCATCTAGTCAAACAACCATTGACAACTGAGTTTTGATGAAGAAGCCAGAAAGTCACATTGGAGAAAAGACAGTGTCTTCAACAAATGGTGCTGGTCAAACTGGATGGCCACATGAACAAGAAGTCAAACAGATCCATATTCACCACCCTTCACAAAACTCAAGTGTATCAAAGACCTCAACATAAAACGAGATACATGGAACCTGATAGAAGATAAAGTGGGGGATAGCTTTGAATGCACTGGAACAGAAAAAGATTTTCTGAATAGAACAACATTAGTGCAGGCACTAAGATGGACAATTAATAAAGGGACTTCTTGAAACTAAAAGCTTCTACATGGCAAAGGTCAATGCTATATGGACAAAGTGGCAGCCTACAGAAAGGCAAAGAAATTTATCATTCAATAGAAGACTAATTTCCTATCTATCTATCTATCTATCTATCTATCTATCTATCTATCTATCTATATCTATACTCAAGAAACTAGATATCAAAAAACAATTAATCCAATAAAAATGGGGTACAAATCTAAACAGAATTCTTAATGGAGGAAACTCAAATGGCTGAGAATCACTTCAATGTTCAATATTGTGCAAGGAGAGACCTTGGATCACTCAGCTCTAGATGAGATATCACCATCACATCTCTCTCTCTCTCTCTCTCTCTCTCTCTGCAAAGCTCAGGCAATTCCACAGAAGAGGTGGTGGAAAGAGTGTGAGAGCCAGAGGGGATGGAGGACACCAGGAGAACACGGCCCTCTAAATCAACTGAGAAAAGCTCATATGCGCTCACAGAGCCCAAAGCAGCAAGCATAGGACTGCATCAGTTCCTCTGTGTATATTTTATGGTTTTTGCTTTAGTGTTTTTACCGGACTGTTGAGTATGTGAATAAGTAGGTCTCTAATTCTTATGCCTTCTCTTGGGCTCTTTTCTTCTGCTGTTTGTCTTGTCCAACTTAGGTGTTATGGGTTTTTTTGGTTTTCTCTTATTACATTTTATTGTTACCTCTGTTTTTGTCTAATAAGAAACAGAAAGGGAGTGGATCTGGATGGGAGGAAAGGTGGGGAGGAACTTGGAGGAGTAGAGGGATAGGAAACTGTAATCAGGATGCATTGTATGAGAAATGAATCTATTTTAAATATATTGGAAAAAATGAAAAGCCACAAAGGAAAATTTCTAAGATTGGGCCTTTAGAACATTGTTGGAATCTTACTTCCCTGTCCAAAATGCTTTTCCTACCATATGCCTTCAATGCTGGAGATGTGGGTCTGAAAAAGCCCGGGTTAAAACCGGTCTAGCTGAACATAGCAGACAATGAGGACTACTGAGAACTTAAGAACAATGGCAATGGGTTTTTGATCCTACTGTACCTATTGGATTTGTGGGAGCCTAGGCAGTTTGGATGCTCACCTTACTAGACCTGGATGGAGGTGGGTGGTCCTTGGACTTCCCACAGGGCAGGGAACCCTGATTGCTCTTTGGGCTGACGAGGGAGGGGGACTTGACTAGGGGAGGGGGGAAATGAGAGGCGGCAGTGGGGAAGAGACAGAAATCATAAATAAATAAATAAATAAATAAATAAATAAATAAATAAATATTAAAAAAAAAAACCAAAGTCCTCTCACATGGTGTGTTCTACCACTGACTTCCATCCCTAGCCCACTTTGGCTTTTTCTTGTATTTAGCTTCTCTTCTTACTCCACTATATTTTCTAGCATCCTTCTGGGACTTAACTTTGTCTTGCTTGAGGTGATATATAGCTTCCTCCCTGAAGTTCTAGCCTCTAGTTTTCCCCTTGTCTAATCCCTTCTGTATTTTGTGTATGTGTGTGTGGTGTACACGTTTGTACATATGTGACATACATACGTGCAGGTGTACCTATGTGCAAATGTGGAGGAGGCCATCAGGTATCTACATGTATAGTGCTCCCTAACTTATTTTGTGAGACAGGGTCTCTCACTCAACCTAAGCATTGCCGTCTTAGCTACACTGTTTGGTGAATTAACTCCTGGGATTCAGTTGCCTCTGCACCTCTAAGTTGACAGAATATACCGCAATGTCAGACTTTTTATGTGGGTCCTGGTATCCAAATTCAGGTTCTCACACTCATTAGCAAGCTTTAGCCACTGAGCAATCTCCCCAATGGCTCCAGTGTGTATTTCTAAAGTGAACAACTCTCTCTCTTCAATCTTTCAATTGAAATGTCATCCTATTGTAAGTCTTCCCTCCTTCGCCTGGCATGGAAGAACATCTGCCATTAGCACCAGTTCACCTCTCTGACCCTGCTTGTCGTGGCCATATTCCTAAACATTTCCCAGCCATGTTTCATTGTATTTTAAGAAGATTCTCTTTTCCTGGTAATTAGTTTTTTTTTTTCTTATAGCAGTTTCCATGTTCAGGACTCCCTGGTGACCCAAACCCTTGCCACTAATTAAGTCCCTTTTATCTTTCAGGGTCAAACTCAAGTTTTTTCTCTACTAATTCTTCCTAGAAGACATGAATATCCATTCCTCTTCTGCATCCCTATACTACTTTAATATCTGTTTAGCTGAGAACTAACTTCAGTACTAGCATGTTTGTGTATATCTTGTCTCCCTAACTACCTAAACACTCACTGGGCTCAGGAACCAGAATTCTATCTTTTTCCCAACACATTTGACACCAGAACTGGTGTGT